GCTATTGAGACTTAATTCTGTTGATATTATGGTTGATGCGATTAAGGCAAATGGTTCTTGGTAAACACTATTTGATGTCGTAATCTCATATATTTAGGCAGTTAAATTGCTTTAATTTGACCTAATTGCGTAGGCGACAATTAGAAAAAAGTCTGGCAAGCAAAAGGTGAATTAAGCAGATTACCTGAGAACATTGATTAGCGGAAATGTGGGCAGCTTATGCTTGAGCCAACAAACAAACAATATGTCAACCAGCTGTGTCCGAGATAAACACTGCCAATGCAGACGTAATCACTCCGGAAACACAATCAAACACAAAACAGACTGATTGGCTGAGACAGTGAAGAGACTGAGATAGGGAGAAATCAGGGCAAATATAATGTTGGGCTTTGCGACTGGGTGTCCGGAATCCGAAACCATATCCAAATCAATCTTAGACGACTTGTTTGCTTAATTTGACAAACGGAATAATTTGATGAATATCTAAATGGCAACAAACACTCAGCAGGCGGCAAGCAATCTACTCCCGCACCCCTCATCTACCCCAGTGGCTTCTTCGGCACTAATTCAATAAGCATCCAATTACAATGCGGGGCATGCAGCAATGTTGCCTTTTCGTCTTCCTTTTTTTTTTTCTCGCAGCCCTGGCAACGCTGTCGTATACGCAATTTTCATTTGCTCTATATGAAAAGTTAGGGCCACTAAAGTGTTGTTATGCGTGTTAATAATATTCATAATTGTTTTTCTCTCATTTCGCTCTGATATTTACGAATTAGCGGAATATACACACATACAGCACGACAGCTCTCTGTTGTGGCCACAATTAAAGCCAAATCCAATTCGAAAGCGCTTTTAGAGAATTAAATTGAATGCATCCAAAATATCAAAGCACGTGCAATCCTCGTATTTTGGCTAAGTTCAGCTAACAATTGAATGACCCAAATACAATTTCAGACTTGTGGCAAGCAAACACACACACACACACACAGCTACAGCTCTTGGCATGTCCACGTCCAAGTCTAGAATATCATAAGTACGTTTTCAGTTACCAGCACAGCAGGTGACCAATCCACAATCACTTCCATGCCACACACACACATATACAGCAAGGGGCGAGGTGCTTGCCCCACAATCAAGGCAATGCAATTTCAATGTCTGCGTCTCGTGTTTCACTTTAGCCAGAACAGAGCTGGACCCAAGCCCAAGAGTGTCAAGGACTAAAGGCTGTACTGCAGCTTAATTCATTTTGTTTTTTTTTTTATTATTTTTTTTATATATATATGTCATTGGCTTCAAACGCAATTTACATGTACAAACACAATTTCTCACACATGGTGAAAATTAAAATGACAAACCTGGTCATGTGGCTAAGAAGATCCAAACTGACCGGCTTATTTAGCAACTTGTCAATGTCTAGTATATTTATAATTGAGATAAATTTAGATGCGATAAGGTGACATACCAAATAAAAGTCTATCATGCTTTGGCTATTGTCCTGATTTAATTAAATTAGAGTCTTAAATAGGATAAAAACTGGCACGTATAAATTCCAATATTCCAAATGAGCAAAACAAATCTCTTTCGTTGGAAAAATGTCTGTCCATGTAACAAATTTTTGTCAACTTGCATTAAAACTATTTAGTGTCGATTTTTCAAGAGTCCTTTTCAAGTCCTGATTTTAGATAGATAGATGCCACTCTTCACTGCCCAATGCGATCAAATGCCAAATCACTAGCCTTGTGCGCTGTATTAACTTCAAGAGGGCCATTTGACCACGCTATCAGCTGCATTGTGCAATTAATGGTCTGGCACTTGGCTGACTCGGCGTATAAAGTCCAAGTGACTGATTCCTCGGGTGCGAACCATTCAAACACACACTGTGCAGCAGCTGAAGATGAGGCACAAGTTGCAGGCCATTCACAATGCCAGCCAAGTGTGAAACTGATGGTGTGAAGGGGGAATCTATAGATAGATGCTGCGAGGGTGACAAGCATTATAAATATTTAGTTAGCATTTGTAGATTGAGGGCTAAAAATGAATTATCCACTGACCGTACAATTGTTCTTTATTTGCTTATTTGCGCACCAATATTTTTATTTGTATATAATTTTTCACATAATTTTTATTTGCATTAGCGGTAAGTCCTCAGGCCATCAACATATCGAATATGGTCGGTTTACGTTGGGTTACCAGACTATCGAGCAAACAAATAATAATAAATAAATAAAAAATAAATTGATGTGCGATTTACGGATCGCTGAGCAGTAACTGGTTCAGGACCGCGTTGCCCTGGGCGTATACGTTATACATCATGCACGTATTTACGGACTACTCATTATGGCTGCGACCATACGGCCATAAATAAAAAGCGGAAATGATTGATAAGCGCTTGGTCAGATTCAATGGCAAATCGCATTACTAAACTGCCGTTTAAGCTGCCTAATAATCGTACTGCCAATCATACGCACTGTGGTACCGCTGCAAAATAAAAAATACAAAACAAAAACAATAAGCGACCGAAACTGAGATGAACGGAAATTGCCCGACGTGGCGTAAAATTCGTTGATTACTTTATTTGTACGGAGTGCAAGACGCGTTCGTTCGTGTCCGTTTGCCTTTTGTCTCATCCATGTGAAGAAAGTGCGGGTTTGTTGTGCGGTCTGATAAGCGGACAAAAAGAAAAACCACACACAAACAGCAACCTGTGGCAGCTGACGGCCCCGAGACCCCTAGCAAAGGGTAAACATTCGTATAATAAAACGTAATCACACATTGATCTCATTGCTCATTGTTCATTTTACTGGAGCATTTTATTTGATTTTAAATCTACTTTCAATAATGGCTTAAGAGTCGCAGCGGGTGCTTAGAGCTGCGCATGTGGCCGGGAAATATTCTTTTATTGCCCAACAATTCGTGGGTTTTGCTTGCCAGCTACGAGTCCCAGATTAAGACGATTTTTCGACCATTTTTTCTTCTTTTTTTTTTTATAATGACAATGCTTGTGGTCAGCAGCTCAGAACTAACCAATTGGCTGTCGTAATTGGAGAACTCATGCGTTTGACATTTATTTGCAGTTGACCTCCTCCATTCGATTCAGCATGTCCCCTGAAATTAAGATAAATTAGTCTGTGACGTATTTTGACAGTTTGCACTAATTGAAATAACCTAGAATTTGGGGCAAGTGATTACATTCTTTGATTCATTTTTTACTTATTTGTGAGTTTTCAATTGTGAAGGAGAGAAAGAATTTACTTTTGCCATGGTTGGCTCGGCTTACTTTAAGGTGAGTAAGCACTTGAAATAATCGACCTGAAAGTGGGTAAGGAAGGGTCAAAGTTTGTATTGCAAACACTCAGCAACAAAATTGACATATGTGTATACATATATGTATGTGTGCTTTCGAAGACGGAATTAATAAGAATGAATGACAAGTCCAATCCCTACTTCAGGCAGCAACAAACAAAACTAGTATTGTCATTTTTACAAATGTGTAAATATAATTATATTACTTGAGGCGATGTGAGGCGCAAGATAAATATGATAAATATTTGAACAATTCTACACTAAGAACAATTTCCTTAAGACATAAGATTTAATATAATTAATTGATTAAATTTCATTTAAGTTTACATGCACAATTGTCGTCTTTCTGTTTATTATCATGGAAGCGAACCAAGTTTTTTGCTACTTCATTTATCCGTTTATTTAAAGAACCAATTTCGATTAAAGACAGTTTCAGCCATGTTCGATTTGTTACCATTACTTTTGCCACTGTCAATGCTATTGGCAGCAATACACATAATGAATAGCCTGTTGGCTGATAAATATCTCGCACGTGAATCAATAAAAGTGCAGTTTAAACTTGCACCGCACACGTCGCTTGGCATCTCTCAGGAATCGACTAAAGTGCCAGATGATTAAACGAGGCCCTAGGCCAAGAGTTGAGCTATAGCATACGGACAGGTCCAGTGAGTCAGTCAATTCATTTGTCCTGCTCGTTTCTGTTGTTGTTGTTGTTGTGTGGGTTGGCTGATGTGTGTCCTATCTGTTTCGGAGAGTGTCCTGGGGCGCTTCTGTTACCGCTGATGTCAGAGAAATGTCATAGAGCTGTTAAACTTTCCCTCAACTGTAAACACAACAGTGACAGCAGCATTTAGGACCGACTGGAGTCCACAAACAGGACGAGCGTCGACAGGAAGTGCAGCAATGCAAAACTGAGACGAGCCCCGCTCATATTGCCACTGTGTCAGCAAAGCGACCAGCGCAAATGACTGTGTGACAGGAAGCTAATACACAGGTGGGTAATAGTGGGTGGCAGAGACTAGGGGGGTGTCCGCCTATGCCTCGATGAGCAGTTAATGAATCACTTAATGGGAAATGGTATACCTGACTTCCGTTTGTGTCCGACGTGCCACGGGCAGAGGGAGGTGGTTGCCAAAGTTGAGCGCTGTTCTATGAGTGGCCAAGTTAGTCGCCCATCGATTTTTAATTCTTGCCTAGAAATTGATTGAGGTTTATTGCTCATACGCAACAGGGAGAGGGGTGCAACAAATTAGTGCAGTCGGATTCATTTCGCACTTAGGCGCAAAATTGCTTGATGTGAATTTTCTAATCAAGGTCAAAATCCAAATCCACAGTACGAAATTTATACTTTCTCTTATCCGCAATGATTTTGGAAATGGAAGTTGGATATTTAACTTATTTTTTATGCCAGCAAATACTCAAATTTAATCATTTTATCAACTAAAAATATTACTTATTCTGCTTTTATTTTACAGCTGTTTGAGTACTCAAGTTGTTGTAACGAGTAATTTGTAATTGATTTCAGATTCAATTTTTATAGTTTAAATCATGAATGCTTTCAATTTACTTACAACCATTTGAGTGAAAACTGCGCTTGACTTTCTATATATACAATATATTTGAAGTTTGAGTTTAGTACACTATTTATCTTCGAGTGTAGATTTTCTCAACAATATTACTCTCTGTTTTACTTTCAGCTTATAAATCGCAGCGCAATGATGACAAACAGATTCGCGTTCTGTGCTTTGGCATTGCTGATCATTTGCCTGTTGGCCATCTCAAGGACCGATGCAGCCCCCATGCCCAGGTAGTTGTAGAATAACCCCAATCGCTTCCAGCTAATTAATTTCTGGGCACTTAAGCTACCGCAAAATGTGTATAAGAATATTTGGCAAAAAAATCCAAAATTCAATTACCAGAAAGTGTTCGGAGTTTCAGTTGTGCGCTGAGGCTAACCACAGTGCAGTGGGAGGAGTACAGTGACAAGGAGTAGGTAGGGAGGAAGGCCATTTTTGGCATCAGCTGAGATGATAATGCTTATTTTAACAACGCACATCCTGCACATATCCAGTTGACAATGGGGGCGACACGTGTCCTTCGCCAATTTTATACAATTTCCGGCAATTTCCCGTCTGTGGTGTTTCTTCTTGCCTTTGCATTTTTAATGCGTTGTGGAAAATTTCAATTAATTAAATGTAAACTCTTGCTTCTAATGACAGCGAATTCTGCATACTTTTCCCGGCACACTAAGTAGACACTTTAAGTAATTCAATTTCATCTCTGAACATTTTAAAGTAGTAGACACTAATCCTTGGTGCATTTTAATATATTCTATCTTCAATTTAGATACATAAGTAGATAGAGTAAATAAGTATATAGAAGTCCATTAAAGTCCTTTTAACTTGCAGTTGCTCAGAAAATTACATTCATTGGCGTTTCGTATGTCGTCTGATAGGAGATGGAGGAAGAAAGGACCAGTGGGAGCCATTCTATTTTCATGTAAATTCAAAAGTAACAAAATGTAAATCACAAGGCAAAGTAATTAGAGGCCCTAATTATTTGATTATTTGCGTCAGTGCTGTACCGTGCTGTAGCTGTTAGGATTTCCAAGTCAAAACCTAATTATTTATATAAACTTTAATATTTCGCTTCACTGCATCCCCAACAAAATAAAAACAACAGTCAAAGCTCGAACAACGGCTACGGCGGATACAACGAGCTCGAGGAGGTGCCCGATGACCTTTTAATGGAGTTGATGACACGCTTTGGACGCACCATAATTCGAGCACGTAACGACTTGGAGAAGTAAGCACCGGAGAGCATATAGGCATACACTCAGAAAATAATAGGCACTAGCAATTGGATAATTGGTCTTTTTTCAATAATTAGGCTAACAACAAAATTTATTGATCCTATATCTTTATACATACCTTTTGGAAATATGTTTAATAATGCCGTGATTAGGTCTAATAAATTCAAATATAATAATTTGGCAACGGTAACTCATTATATAATTTTTCTAAATTCTAATTTAGAACGATAACTTTTTTTAAACAACTTTTCGAAATTCGATTCTATTCTAATTCAATGCAATATAAAATATTAATTAGTTACAGCTTTTGGTAATATATCCAAAATAATTTAGAAACGATAATCCTTTTTTGGAAGATATTGTGACGATTTTCCAAATTCTAGGCCAAATTTTTTCCGAGTGTAGACATATGTGTCCTGTGAGCTGTCTAAGTTTCAAACCTTAAAGTCCAATCTTCAACAGCTCGAAGCGGACAGTGGACTTTGGACTGGCGCGCGGCTATTCTGGAACTCAGGAGGCGAAACATCGCATGGGTCTGGCAGCAGCCAACTTTCCCGGCGGACCAGGACGAAGGCGACGTTCGGAGACCGATGCTTAAATGGGCAATTACGATGATAACGATGATATGAAAGCTACAAGAAATTAACAACTATAGCATTTATTTTTGATTTCAAATTAACTTTATCTTAATTATTATTTTGAACGTATTCCACAAAATTTGCCAGAATATTAACTAAATTCAATTTAATTGTATTTCTATGGCTATTAAGTATTACGCACTGTATATACATACATGTATACATATATACTTTTAACGCACAAGCGTGGAAAATATCGAAAATATTCGCGTTACAGTTAAAGAAAAACAAAACAAACAAACAAGTTCTCAAATACATACATTAGTGTTACATATATACATGTATGTATTGCAAAAATATACCAATGCAAGGTACATAAATCTATATAACAATATACGTTAAACCGTTGCTCCAAAGTTGATAGAGTTTATGCACCCTCAATCAATTAATACCAAGATCATGATACCCTCTCGCTCTCTCGCTCGTTTTAATGTTTAACACATACCAAAGAAGAAAAAAGAAAAAGAAAGAAACAATGAACAAATTAATCAACTATTTAGTGAAAATATTAATATAAGTATGATACTAAAATAAACAACTTATTGAACTGTATAAAACTCGCGCAAAAAATCTTTAAATAGGTATGCCTTAGTATTAGCACACTCAATTACACACACTCACACTGAAATACACATACGTACACACACACACACACTTACTCAAACACTCACACATACACTCACACACACACTCACACTCGCACAAATACAAGCAAGTTTGCCACCCAGAAATTGAGTTAAGTATCTGAAAGAAGAAGCCTAAAAAATGCAATTGATAATTCCTATTTTTTTTTTTTTTTTTAGTTTGTTAACAATTAAATCTATTCTATCCATATGTGTATTAATAATGTGCAATTTCTTTTGAGCTTGAACACCTTTATCCGTGCCATACAACAATTTTGAGCTTCTTTAACCGCTTTGAGTGGCTTTGAAGTATTTCTTGTAAATAATATTAACAAATACACTTGCATATTTTGCGATATATGAATAAAATATCAACAAAAAAACAAAAAACGTACAGCTGCTTATATAATTATATTTATATACATATACATATATATACGTATAAATGTGTATATTGAAAACATACAAACATGAATATCGTAATCGACAAAATCAAATAAATTTACATTTAAAAAACTCTATATAACTTGTTTCTTTTTCGTGAAAGTAGTTTGTGGTTCACCTCATCATATTATTTGTAATTGAAAGTATCTTTCATGCTGTAAAGGATTTGAATGCTGAATTGATTGCCAGAGTCCTGCTTCGCTATTCCCCTTACAGGTCGTCCTTAAAGTCAATGAGTACTTTTACGCTGAATCACTGATTGCTGATTGATAAATTCAGATTAAAGTGCTCTTGTAAGTAATTAAGTATGTGCCATGTGCCATGTACGTACTTAAGTACATACTTTAATAGCCGCGAGCTAATAACAATTTTATCTTTTGGGACCAGCGTAGCAATCGAATATGTTCATGTTTGCAAATGTACTTTGACCACCTGCGAATGTATCTATTTGCACGAGAACTAAATTGATGCACAACTGTTTGTACTCATAGATACATGTGTATCTATCGGCTCTTAGATAAGTGTACCAGCTGGTGCCATAAATGCTGTATTTGGCCAAACTAATAAATGGCTGTGCACTCTGGCAATTATTCTACGATATTGATAAGGCAAATTACAGATTTAATAAGCGGCAAGGGATTAATAATCAAACTCTATATTGCGAAAGCATATAAAGCAAATATCTCTCATTGTACGATAAGTAGTGTGATTTTGATCAAAAGGTTGTAAAACCCAAATCAAAATAGCTGGGTAAAGAGGGTAGAGAGATCAATGTATATTATTTCAATTGGAATGCTCTGCCCTTTAAATTGTGGCTTTTATTGCTATTGGAAATCGATGTGTATTGATATTTGAGAAAAGGGACAGTTAAACAAGTAAACTTGATCTGCCCAAAATGATATATTATATTCCGTTGGAAATAATTGTATTTGCCTAAGTACACCTCAGTTTGTCTTCCCGTTTTGTAGAAATATATTTTTAACAGCTGTGTTCAGGGTACATCGTAGTCGAGCTCACTCGACTACAACATTCTTACTTGTTCTATTATGTTCTATTCCATATGTCTCGCATAAACACATATTTTGTTATTCTGGTATTTTATATTTTTGTTTAATGTATAAGGGATTGCTGCAATATATACATATACTTATATTTCTATAGTATATGCACGTCTACCACAACAAATGGCCAAATGCAAAGTGTAAAATCAAGAAATCGTACAACTACACACATATGTACTAATTTATAATTATAGTTTACTTAACTATGTATTTATAGCAGGCTTCGTCGTCTGCGAATGAATAACAATAAGAAAAAACCGCCAGTTTGATTTCTCTTTATTTCGATTAATGATGAATCAATCCTTAAGTGTGTCAGGCATGAATATGATATGAATACTAATTGCATTTATTACTTTATAATAGTAGTAGTATTTATTATAACGAAATCTTAGAGCATATTTTTATTAATATTGGAAGAACTCACTTGATTGGCACTGGAAGCTACAACCTATCGTTAAATGGATAAGCACACAAAAATAATACTACGAAACGTAATCTTAAATCAAATTACATTGTTTTGACAATACTCAGGGGTAAGCACAAACTGTTTCTGTCCTCGCAAATCTCCTTTAATTATATTTACAGTCTTCGATCCAGTGATTGATGCCCTAAGAGCACCTGAGTTAGTTGATAACTCTGTGTATCAAATTTTGACCCCATTTGGCTGCCCAGTCGTCATCGAAGCGGGTGGAATGGTCATGTTGCAGTTGTTGCTGGTGGCATTATTGGTGGATGCAACTGTTTGGCCAGATAGTTCCATATACTGGAAGGGCACCAGATAGCTCTGACCCTTGTGCTCCACTATCAAATGACCCCGTCCACTGGAGGCACCCACGACCGTTACGGTCTCGCCTTTTTTCAAGTGCTGCAGCTCGTTGGATGTGGCCTGTGGTGGAGTTGGCTGGAGGGCTGCTGACGGATTAGCGACGGCATCCTCGGGAAAATTCATTTTCATGATGCGACTTTGCGGATAGCCGAGCTTCTTCGAATTGGCTGTGATGGTGTATGCCCGTGAGGGAGGAACGGGTGGCGGGCGTTCCTGCAAGCGACAAGCACAGAGAGCATTGTTATAAAAGCGGTTTACATATATGACATATAGAATATACAATATACAACATAACAGTCGGTTTAATTGAAAAGGAAAAAAGGCAGCAGGCAGCGAGCACCAGGATTAAATGCACAATGGTCACTTTAATTCAATCTTTGAAATTCTTTAGAGAGTATTCAACTGGGTATGGTTTGTGAAATCAGGTCAGTAAAGTTAGCTTCTATTTGTGTACAGGTGATTACAGGTTATCTTCTAGTCGAGTATTCAAAATTTAATTAGACAGTATATTAGGTACTATAATAAACAATTGTTTCCCATCTTATTCCACTGTTTCCATGTTTCCCCGCACAAACAAAAGCCTTGCTGATGGGCAGTTTGTGGTTTTGGTTTGCGGTCATCATTGTACGAGGGACAATGGCAAACGCTGGGCACTTACCAAATCTAATCCGAAAAGAGTACATGTTTGCTGTAAAATCTTCTGGTCGCATTTCTCATGTGGATCGGGTGGCGGGGTGCCGGCAATCGGCTGAGGTCGTGGCCGGGTCACAGTGCCAACAATGCCGGGACTTGTATTGAGATTTGTGGATTTTGCAGACAGGCGAGGAACTAAAAGAAAGATGAATTTATTTTAGACCAGAAAATCAATGAAATGCAATTGTAATTCGAACTCACCCGTATTGGGAGCAGCTGCAGCAACCGCTGCCAAAGCTGCCATCGCAGCTGAAGTTGCCTTTCCATTCGGATTGTTGTGAGCACTGGCGAGCTTGGCACAGGAATTGGCGATGGCTGGCAGGGCAGAGATCAGACCAGCATCGATGGCACACGGACGCTTCAGGCTGTTGCCCATCTTCTTGCGCCAGCACCAGCCACGCCATGTTGCCTGCATCCGTGTGGCGCTCTTGTGCCTAATCTCGGTGCGCAGGTGCTCCAAATGCTGGCGTATGCCCTCGCTAATGAACACATGACGCTTGCCCGGCGCCCATGCCAATGTCACAGAGCCATCCAGAACCGGTGGCTGCTCAATGCCCATGGCATATTGCAGTATCAGCTGGCAATCCTCGAGAGCTTTGTCTTCGATGCGTCGCAGCAGCCGGAACGGAGCCAGCATGCGATAGCGTGCATTAAACTGCTTGAAGCGCATCCGATGAGGAAAACCAGAGGCCATCAGATTCACCGTCTCCAGCACCTGCAGTGATCTTATCTGACGCACCACCGTCGCCCGCTCGAATCTGCCCGCCTGCTCCGACGTGTTGCTGCGGATGCAGCGGACAAAATGTGGCCGGGCATGGACTAAAGTTCGCAGCAAATTATCCAGCCGGGTGTGAAAGTCTTGGGTCAGTGTGGATACCGGCTCATCCCCATTAAGAAGGTCCGAGTGCGAGGTGGGTGAGATGCGAAAACTAAGGCCCCTCGGCACCTGCTGCTGGGCATACAGCGCCTTTAACTCCGAGCCAAACAGATGCGTGGCAAATCCGAAATTGCAGCTATGCTTGTAGAATACGGCAACCAGATCATCGGGCACCACATCCCGATTCGTGTCCAGGAAATCAGTGGTGTCGTACTCCACCCGCCCCGCAAAGTGTCGGATGGCAAAGAGACGCGGATCATCCGGCTCTGTGGCAGTTCTTGGCTCCAGGCGGGTGGAGCAGCGATGCTGTACCTTCAACTTGGTCACATAGTTCTCGGCTGTGCCCCGCACCGAGCACTCCATATCCAGGAGGCTGAGCAGTCCTGTGCGCAGCGACGATATCAAATCGATGCATGGCACATTGTCCACATAGTCCACCTCCGTGTCACAGACGATGCCCTCATCCCGGCACGACTCCACCGACGACTTGAAGATGTGTGTATTGTAGAAATGCTGCATTGTCTCCGCACAGAGATTAATGCACAAATGCTCCAGCTGGGCATGCGGCGATGGCTCCTCGAAGCCAAACATATCCAGTATACCAATGAACCCATCCGTTGCATGCCGCACAGCATTATTCAAAGCAGCCATCGACTTAGAGCCAGCATTCCCACCGCCAATGGTCGATGCATGCTGGGATGCAGCATCCGCCTGATTGTGCACCGACTCATTGGAGTCTGAGCTCAGCGTGCCCAGAGTGGACCCGAGTCGCTTCAGGCTGTTCGCTCGCCTCACAATCGTTGCAACCAGGCGGCAGTAGAGCGCCTTGGCCAAGCAGTCACGCGTCATGTTCGCATCCCCATCGCCGCACACAGACTTCACCAGCTGGCCTCGGACATTGTGGGTGCGTGTGGTCAGACCGCGGAAGAGAGCCGCCGGCGGCACTCCCAACAGACTGGCAACCGAATTGAGTTCAGTCTCGCCTTTCACATCTACCTCGAGGCCCTGTGCAAAGTTGAATGTGACGAAACAAATATAATAAAATACAGTTCAGTTAAAACAATACATCAAATTGCAATTTTATTCTACAAAACACAAATGTCTCCAAGCTAACTAAAATATTAAAAGAATCCTATTGATGCTCTGAATACTAGTAACCATTTTTATTAAGGTTCCATCACTTTATTGACAGAAAATAAATCCAAGAAAATAAAAGCGAAAATTGATTTATGTTGACAAAATACGATTTCTTGCTCAGCGTTACATTAAAGTTTCGTACATGAATTTTCAGACGTAAATTACCCGTAATCAAACATCAACGCAAGAAATTAAAAAGTTCTGTCGAGAAAAATCCGCTGGCAATTGTACCCGCGTCTTTTCGCACACAACAACAATGGCAGATTGACGCTCTAACCGAAACGCCATCTCAGCATCGCTGGACTTGTTAATCCAAAGCAAATAAGTGCATAAGCCAAAACTTAAGTTAAGTTGAAAGCTAGGTGACGCCACTGTGTAATTCTGTCGGAATTAACAACAGATGGTGGTATGTCCAAAAATGACTCCATCTATTGGAATACTGATAAAAATATATTGTGTCAAGGTTACGATATTGAAAATTTAAATTGAAAGCTAGGTGGCACCACTGCACAATTCTTTCGGAATGAGCAGAATAAGATGCCAATTTTACGATATTGAAACTCACGATATTGATATTTCTAAGTTAGCAAATTTGTTTGACTAAAAAAACTGAACAGATTCGAAATTGATCGAAAGATGTAGGGAAAAAATGAAAATGACATACCCCGCCATCGATAAACTGAACGTTGCCGAGCAATAGCACAGCAGCGAGTACACGAACCACATCCAGAAAGGGTATTCCCAAAATGCCCAAGCAGGTCTTCCAGGCCTGAAAACGCACAGCGTCCTCCTGTTCGTTCTGGGCGATGTCGCCGCGCAAATAACGCAGATTTGTCGGCGAGTAGCCCTCAAGATGCAGTTTCTGTCGCTCGTCGCGACTCAGCCCAGCTAGCAGCTGGTAGAAGATGTGATAGTTCTTCTCCTTGGGCAGGGGCCGAATGACGCGTGTCTGGTCCAGGAAATAGCAGTGTATCTTGGTGCGATAGAGTGCGCCATCCGTCACCTGCACCTCGATGAACTGGCCAATGCGACTCGACTCCGAGTTGGTTGTCGTCTTCGCGGATCCCAGGGAGCGCAGCACAGTAAAAGCAGCAGCCAAATGCTTAAATGCATCTGTCTCCGGTCCACCGCCGGCAATAGCAAACAGCTGGCGAAGCATCAGCATCGCATTTGCCGTCTTCCCGGCGCCACTCGTGCCCGAAAGTATGATGGCCTGCGGATAGCCCGTCTCGCTCTGCTGACGCACTGCCTCCTGCACGATCTTCTGCAGTTGAGGTGCTAGCGGCAGATCGCGCGTAGAGGTCAAGGTCAGTGGATTGCCCACATCCAAATAGGGATTGATCGAGAGCAGAATCGGTCCCACATTCGTCTGCAACACAAAGTAAATGCAAAAATATTTAAGTTTCTTTTACTCTGCAATTGAAGTTCGCCCATTAATTAAAGCACTCAAACTCTGGTCAGACATGTCGCACCTTCTCGTCTTACATACTTAAATACAGTCGGTAATGTCGGTGGTTTGATCGTTGCCGACACTCGAGCACAGCTCGCTTACTGTTAGATTCACTTTTAGCTGTACACATCAATTAGCTGCCTCCGGCATTGCGAGCAATGGGAGCAATGAGAGCAATGGGAGCAGACAATTCACAGACTGTGCTCGCGTTTGTCTATCAATTATTTTAATAGTTTGTCATTAAATTAAATTTCCGCTTGCAGTCGCTGCAGATTAACTGTTAATTTCGACAAGTACAGAGTTGTGGACATCGCTAAATTGACCATTGTAAGTAGCTTGTAGCAATTTCTACCAGATGCTAGATCCGGAAATTGTTCAATTAGTGTCGCTTCTATTGCCGGGAGTATCGAAAGCAACGGGTTTTCCTGGGGGTTTATTGCCAACAGAGAGGACAACATGTTGGACCATAGAATAAAATTCTTATTTTAAAATCGTTTTACATAAGCGCAAAACTGCTAATTTGAATCTTCTCTTCGAATTCTCAGATTGATAATAGTTTGAATTCTTCCATCCAAAAATTTCTTCTTTACTGGTTTGATGGCACTTACGAAATAACGCTGTTCGCTGAAGCGGGCCTGGAGCGTGTGCATAACGGCATGTTCTGTTAGTGGGCCAGCCAGATGGATCAGGTCCTGCATATCCTTGGGCGGACGACCAGTTGAATGCAACTTGACACCAGCGCCAGCAAAACCAAAGCCGAACGGCAATGTTTTCACACTCTGGCAAGGATTAACATGCTTGGCTGAGGGGAACTGAAGGCAATGCTGCTGCTGATGCTGTTGCTGGGAAGCCACTGATGCCGCCAGAGCTGTTGCAGCAGAGGAGCGCATGGGCAGCGTGTGGGAGCTGGAGCTGAAGTTGAGGCCGTGTGGCAGAGGTGCCGGCGGTAACAAACCGTTGCCATTCAGACTCGCACTGTTGCTCTTGTGGTGGCTCAACGAGGACTTGTCGCCCAGCTGATGCGGCAGCGGATGCGGAATGGATGTATTTCTCGCCGAGATGATGGCACCCGAGCCGGAATTACTCGGCAACGTTTGGCTGAAGTTGTACGAATGCTGTAATGGCAATACAAATTCACAATTTAGTATCGAAATTTGTATTTTTCAAAAAAGTAACTCACTTTGGGCAGTGTGTGTTGCCCATTTCCGTGCTGCTGCAATGCATTCGCTAAAAGTCCGCCGGAGCCCAGATTTAAATTCGGACTGGATGCATTCAAATCGTAATTGGCTGCTTTGGCGCCACCACTACCACCACCACCACCAGAACCGGCATTAGCAGTACCAATCGCAACGCCTCCAATGCTGGGATGCTGTGCATCATTGGTCCGACCTTGAACCTGACCCTCCACATGGAGACGATTGCGCATGACCAGCAGCTCAGTGCTTAAGCTCTTGAGCCGCTGCTGCAGATGCACTGCCTCATTGGACGATGATGCATCTGAAAGTGGCAAAGACATATACGTAGTCATTATTTTATAGTATAAAGAATGTATTGATACCCAGTGAAAAATGTTACAACTGAAAAGTAGAAATGCAAACCTTTTATTGACATTTATACGAATAGCTTCGATTCAGAATTTAGAAATAAACGAGAGGATTTCCACTTAAATGCTAAATCTGCTGTTAAAAACGATGCTGTATTTATATATACAAATAATTTAAGAAAATGCTATCATGTTATTTAGAAATGATATCCGCACTTTGAAGAGAAACAAATCTATTTCAATTTATCGATTCTGGGGCATATTTTATTAGAGCTAAAATAAAACGTTTATTCATGCAAATTATGCACACATTAAAACAAGACAGAAACCTAATCTTTTTCTAGCCTCAAAATGATTCATTCTGATAGCCTTAATCAAAACAAAAATGAGTCTCTTGGCACTAGTTTTAGCCGGAGTTCAATATCAAGATATTGAAATTAAATTTCGATTTGTAGGCAATTTTAAATAAAAGATTAGTATTTAAATTTGAAAAATGAGCATAGGCTTATAGCTATGTAGTAAATAACAAAATGAATAGGAACTGAGCGAATGTTTGTCTCTATTTGTTGGTTTTGGCTAACACACACACACACACACACGCATTTTGTTTAATTATATTTATAATTAACAACTTTATCCATCAGCGGATTTATTCACACCAATTAATTTAGTGTTGGCTGACAAAACTTTGTGCTCTTAGATTGTGACATCCATTTACCAATTTACAAAATAACAACATGGAAAAGACGCAATTTACATAAAATGTTAATGAACCAATTTCGCTAGCAATCAAAAGAACGCGCCAAGATAAAACAGAAATCGTCGGCAGGTGCCAAGCAGAAGATAACAACGAAATGAAATGAAGGTAATAAGAAACATCAGTGAATCGATGCTAAGGCAGATGCTAAAAAATGATTATTATAGAATCGGGCAAGCTTTCGAAAGTGGTGACAAAAAAGAAAAAAGAAAAACACGCGACTCAAAGCTATGAGAAAAGGTCTTTCCAGATATTCTAGAGTCAGCTACAACGCACAACGCCAGAAAACATCATAAAAGAGAAAAGCAAACCTGTAAAAGTACTAATCTAATTGGGCATTTTAAAACTTGCCACAAAAGATATTACAAAAGTGATTTTGAATCGAAATAGAGACAAGCCAACAAGAGACGCCAACAGGCCAACATTCAACATTCAACCAACAACAACAACAACATCAACATAAAAACCGATATAATTGATGGCGGAAACCAGTTTGGCTTTTAAGCTGCACACAAGAAAAGTAAGGTAAAAACACAAAATTTTGTTTTGATTTTTATACCCTAACTGTGGAAATATGTCGAATAGCTTTGGCCTTAGAATGTATTCTACTTATAAATGTATATTTAATAAATATAATCAAAATGGTGAACTAATTTGTAAATTAACTTTAAGGTGTTAAATAAACTTAATTGGTATTTTATCAAATAACATAATTAATTACATTTTACTATACGATACTTGATAAAATTGAAAGATTCCCACTTAAGAGCATCAAATCAACGGCTTCTTAAGCATTCCAAATATGTCTTTCATATTCGGACAATGTTTTTTGCATGTAGAAAAAGGTTTAAGTCCGAATCGGCAGCAGCAGCAGCCTAAGAAATTTTCTTGGAAGCTGAAATCAGCGTGCAACTCAACAGAGTTCAGCACTAAAGAGCAGACAACAAAAAACAACACCAACTGGACCCCAACGACAACGACGACGTCGACGTAGACGACGACGACGACGACGACGGCAACACATTTAAAGATTTCAACGGCGTTGTGTTGGCGGCATTGCCTGGAACCAAAACTGGTCACCAATGGGCTGGCGGAGATGGGAAGCGACGAAGCTGATGGTGGGCAAATGTTGCAAGCCAAACAGACACAGACACCTATACCACCATACAGCTGCTCGCCAGCTACAAGGGACCCATATAAGTACATATTCATCTATATGTATGTGCAGGTACTACATTGAGTTGTTGTTGTTTTATGTGGATGGCAACAAATATTAATATAATAATAGGTAGCTGCATTAAGCATGGAGTTGTCTTCAGTTTCGAAAATAAAAGTCCGCTCCCCTATATGGGATAGTTCAGAATAGTAAAAACAATAATGAAAAAAAGTTCATCAACTAGCAATATATCACTTCATAATAAAATGAATCTGTTTAGCGCTTGTTGGGATTGAATTCCAAGTATTACAATCTTATAATTGGCTCTCTTTGTACACAAAAGTGTATTAATCATTTGACAGAGTTCAAAGATCTTAAACAATCAAGAACACCGCTTTTAACAAGACAATAAGCGTTTTAAACAAAAGAGGGCATAAATTGAATACTCTAGAACGCAGCAGCAAAATCAGCAACGAAACAAAAGACTTAGGCGACAAACTTGAAATGACTCAACTTAGTTCTTTGTTTTTGTTTTGTTTTCGTCAATATCCTTTTGGCCGGAACTTACCCTGCAGCTTCTTCTCGGTCTCCCAAAATTTTTGCAATTCGGTGAAATATTTATCCAGTATGAAGACTTTTGACAGGCCCAATGTGGCCATCGTAGATGCACATTTGTGTGGCCAGCAGAGAACGAAACCAGCTGCAGTTACTGCTAATTTCAACTGCAAAGCTCGCCAAAAACGAGTTGCGACCTGCGATTTCAAATGCGAGTTTTTCTTGATTTTTTGGTTGTTTTTATTTTTTATTTATTCGTTTTTTTTTTGTTTGGCGACTGATACGACAAAAAGGACGAGAAGCGAGCTGCTTCGGCACCGGCGACGACGATTTTCTTATTTGAATAATTTCGTATACACAGATACACAGCATAAAACACGCCCGAGCAAGCGAACAGGTTTTCTGCACACAGGCACCTCCAAGGAGACAGACACTGACCAGGTATATGTGTGAGTGTGAATGTGTGTTCGTATCTGTGTATCTGTGCCTATGGAATACAAACTGGCCCTGCAGCCGTGGCTACTTTTTGGCTGTGCAGCAAGCAGCAAGCGAGCAGCAAGTGAAGCACACAACAAAATAAATAAACAAGCAAAAAGAATGCAGAAGGGCAGCAGCCAAATCACTGAACAACTCTGCACTCTTCTTTCGCCTTGTTTCTGTCTCTCAGATACTATTCGGAGTTTTGTTCTCGTTTTTCCTTTGCGTTGCTTCTTTGTGTTATTATTATTTCTATTATTATTATTATTAATAATATTATTATAGTTGTAATTATTTATGTAGCTTAGTTGCGCGCGCCTACTTTGTGCAGACTTTTTATTTTTCGTTGGTGTTATTTTTTCATTAATTTATTTATTATTTTTTTGTTTTTTTTTTTTTGAGAAAAACGAGTTAGCAACTTCAACTCGCAGACACGCAAAGCTGAAAAGTGCCCGTACTCGGAGTAGATGCTTAGATACCTTCAAGGTACACACAAACACACACACACACAGACACAGATACAACACGCAGAGAAACACGTTCATACATACATATGTACTTTTATATGTATGTAATTACTTTTACATAGCTTGCCAGAAAGCATAAAATATGTTTAAGGCAGTCACTTTCAAATTTTGCATCTTGAGATTATTTTCTTTTTCAATAATATTGAAACACTGGCGTATTTTCTATTTGGCTAAACGATCGTTTCATTTGAATATCTTTTCAGGCACCGATTCATAAAATGATCAGCCGCCGACTTCACTTGCACGCTCCCAGGCCACTCCGCAGACTGATCGCTGCGATGGAAGCGAACTTCGCTCCGGACAAACGATCGTTTTTCTGCCTCTCTAATATAATTACGCTCTCTGCTGTGACTCTCTCGTGCTCGAGCTCAGGTAAATTTGTGTTCAGCAGGTAAAAGCCAGAGGTATATACATATATATATATATATATATATTTATTTTTTTTGTTAGTTTGTATAGCTCTGTGTCTGTGCAGTTGCTCAAATATGGGGTCAAGTGTTTGAACTATGCGCCTCTCCTCTCCTCTGGCTCCTCTCCCGCTCTTCTCTCAGGCTCTTTTACACATTTACTGCTCGCGTGTTAATTAGTGTTGATTGCTTATTGTTTATTGTTGATGCTGCATTTCACAATTCCCACATCAATTCCATTGCAGTTTGCCACCCGTTGCATTTAACATGCTTCTTTATTTTACGTTTTTTTTTCATTTAATAATCAAACACGATTGGTAAAACACGATTTGTCTAACAAACCATTTTTCCATCAAACATTCATTAATAAGATGTGAATAATTTATAAACTAAGACTCTAAAACTCAATCGGAGGCTTAACTGTCTGAAAGCAAGTTTATCAGTGGTTTATGTTGCCAAGTTCGTGACTCAAGCTGTGGAGCATATATGGATATTTGCGATATGAACATTGCGCAGAACCAATATTCACTTTACACTATAGAGACAGAGTACAACAATTAAATTAACGTTTATTTTTTCCAGCACGATCGTCTATCATGGACACAAGCCAAATCGCTACATCGAAGACATGAACCAAAAGCGGTTTTTAGCTTCGATGGTTGCCTTATCAGACTTAATTCGCCTCGCTGCAAGCTCAATTCGCTGCAACACAACCTTAAAACTGAAATTCGCTGCAAATAAAATGCATACAGTCGAAAATATAAGAAATATAATTAAATTGCTCTTTTAGAGTTTCTATTGTACTACATTTAAAATGAACCTACGAAATATAATATATATAGTAAAACATTTGCTCAAGTCTATCTACTATCTCCCAAAATTTATACCTAAATAAAATCAGCTGTGTACAAAATCTTACCAGTTATATTTCCTGTGGTTCTGTTGCATGTTTTTTTCCGCTTGGCTACTGGTAGTGTATAAATAGCTGAGAACTTTGTGAAGCGCTCAACGACACCGATGACTTTATTGGCAGATAGCACCGAAGATTCCACTTCCTTGGAGCCCCCCGTTAACTCCGCATCCGCTTTGTCCACAATTGGCGACGCTTTACTTTGCTTCGGCGAGGAAGTGGTTGTGCTACAAGTTGGGAGCAACGAGTGATGAGTCTTGCCAGAAAACAATAATTGATGTATAAACCACAAACCTGACTGCCTTGTGGTACTGGCAGAAGAAGTCGGGGCGCATGCGATGCCGGCAGAGAAAATCTTCGCACAGCCGCAACACATCCTCGCAATTCTCGCTCTCGCTGGGCGCCTCTTCTCTCGGTCCACTGGGTGTGGATGAGTCGAGTGTAACTTCCTGGTCGTCATTTGCAGGCTGGGGACTGTAGAGAAATGTGGGCAGGGATTCGCCAACGAAGTCGGGAATGTGCTCAAAGAAGTCAGCGGTCCGGTCGTAGCTTCTGCTGCTGGCGCTAGAGCTCTTGGAGCGCGTCTTGGTCAGATGTCGGCCCACGTAGTCGGCGTACGTCTGATCCGGCAGCAACATAGCATAGCATCATCTTGCGTGACCCATTAACCGAAGAGATCTGCAACCAAATGCAACAAATGAGTTGGACACGAAAGTCAATCGCGACATCAATTCGCATTTTAATTGCTTTTAAATCAAGCGTCCAACAGTTGCCCGTCACTTGCGGCTTGCGGCTTGGCCTGGTTGCAGGTTACAAGTTGCAATATCTGCTGCGGTGGCTTCCATGTTTTCGTCTGCATCTGCACGCCCATAAACCTGTCAGTTTATTGGCGTTTATTACCACGATTAGCGTGACCATGACGAAGGTGACAGACGCAGACGCTAATGCCTTTTACTGCATGTGCACCTGACGGGATTCACATTTCCCGCAACAGCGTGCCAAAGCTATACCCGCTTCCAACCGGGGATCATCGCTCAAGCTCCAGAGAATATTGGGCAAAATTAATTTTTTAGCTTGTTGAGTAGTCAAAAATCAGACAGAATTCCTTTCTGAATGAATCTTACATAATAATGTGGAAGAGCCTTCAAAATATATCGCAGGAATTCGAAAATAGTTATTGTGATTTTATTATTGTTAATATTAATTTGTAAATAAGCAAAATAATAAGTTTTATTTATCAGTAAACTTAAATATGAAATGCATTATATTTTGTTTACTTTCAAACCAAATCATATGTTTGAAGTAGTTTAAGAGGGGTTGTCCTTGCAGTAAAATACTGACTACGCCCATGGCAGACCATCAATCGACAGGAAACAGGCAGCCGGCAGCCGGGGCAGTGTCAGTGGCAGATAGATGAGTTGCCAATCGGAATGAGACACAATATTTATGCCACACTTTGCTCATGCTGTTGGTGTGGTCCCTCCGTCTCGCTGTTAGACTAGGCACCAAGAGGACTTTTACTGTCCGCAATTAACTCAAATGTTTGTCATAAAATGTTGCAAGTGTGGTTGCGATAGTCATGCGACCACCACGAGCCGATGATGCCTGTGCTGCCTATGCTGCCTCTCCAGTTGCTGGTATCCCCGGCATAGACATTTTTCAGTGTCAACGCAGCGGGCGGCACCGTTTGAGTAGTCATAGAATGCCAGACTCACCGATATCTGAGCCACTTCCACATACTTGCGGTTTATTATGGCTAAGAACCAAGAACTGCATGCGATTGCTGCGCTTCTGTGCTGACGCCTTCTAACTGGCCATCTAAGTTTCTGCTGTTTATAGAACAGTGCCGAAAAGTAAACTACCCCAATATTTGTGTATATCCAGAAAACTTCATTGGAAAAGAAAAAATTACCTTTTTGCCAACCTTTAAATACCATGTCAGAATAGAGATCCCCTAAAGAAAAATCACAAACTTTATCAAGATAGCTGCAATACTGGAGTACCATTTAAAATACATTTGTGTGGCCTTTTAAAATATAACATGTACGTATACTTAATATCGAATCCTTTTTCTATTAAATACATTTTCTATAATTTAAACAAATTGTTTATCCAATTTAATAAAAATTACTTATAAAGGTGGCTATATTTAAAATAGAATAGGAAATATAGTTCACAATCTAGTTAGTATTTCTCTTAAATTAAAGAACTGATTGGCACAAAATCAACACAATTTATATTATTTCTTTGTAATCTACTATGAATAATAAGAACAACAAATGAATTCAAATAAAAATATAAAGGCAAAGATATATGACTAAATATTAATTGTTGATAAAACGAATGAATGAAAAAATGCGTAACGTTCTTGCTGTATTACAGAGCATCTAGCTAACTGCAGTGATTAGCGAATAATTTAAATGCGATATCATCTGAATTCACAGGAAGGATAAATCTGTTTAGACGATGACTGTGTATTTGAGATTAGTCATGCCAACAGACAGCTTAGCAAATAGAAGCAGCATTTATTTATTGTACAATTTGGGCATTGACAATGTTTGCAAAGCGGCAAACATTTCGCCAGAATAAATTGTGCCCGTGGTTTGGAATCAGGTAGCGACATCGCATAAACTAAAATAAATCTCATAAATATGCAGTTGGGCATTCTGTGTCCCGCCTTCAGCTTCCAGCTCTCAGGTCTCAGCTGCCAGCTGCCAGCTTGAGCTACAACTGGAGTCGGACTCCAGAGCTGGCTACCTGAGGAAATGTATCTCAATATGTCCGCTAGATAGTCTCGCGGCATGCACCCAGGTACATTGTGGAGCTCAACTCAACTGAAGTTATTTATTCTAACTACGAGAACGATACAAGTTTTCCACTCAACGGGCGGGGATTTAAAACGCAAACGCTGTTGTGGGTCGTCTTGGACCATATTCCTCTTACTCGTGTCGAGGTGAAGGCTAATGTTGAACCGAGACCCACCGAGACAATGTGGGGCCTCAGCTAATTTGCATTTGTGCCAACCGTTGGCAAACAACAGCAAATCAGTCGCATCAACAGCAGCGCCTAAGATACATATGAATTAATTAGCAGCAGGCATTGAAATTCCAAATTGCGAAATTGCAGATATACGTAAGTCCTTGTACGATTGGGCAAACATTTACAATCAATTTGCACGAGCGAAACAACAAAAACAAAAAAATTGTTTTCCCAGGAAAAAGATCAGTGATCAGTGATCACAGTTGATCATAGGGTAAGTACACAAAACAAGAGAGGTATTATTATTATCATGGTCTTGGGTCTTGGTCTTGGGCGATGGCGATTCATTGCACTTTTGACTTGTACATGGAAATTACATGATTTAACTTAATT